GCCATTATGTGTCAGGGGTGGAATTTGAACCCAGGTCTTTCTGGTTCTGAAGTCAACCCTGTCCACTATGGCACACTGCCTCTCCCTCCCTCGCTTTCCCTGTCTCTCTTTCTCTTTCTGTCTCTCTGTTCCCTCTCTTTGTCTCTTTCTCTCTTCTTCTCCCTCTCTTTGTCTCTTTCTGTCACTTTGTGACTTCTTAACACTTTTGTCTCCCACCCCTTTTTTCTCCCTTTCTCTTTGTATCTCTCTGTCTCTTTCTTTCTGTTTCCCTGTCTCTTTCTCTCTGTTTCCATCTCTGTCTCTTTCTCTCCTCTCTTTGTGTCTCTCTTTTTTTCTCTTTATCTGTGTTTTTCCCCTTCCTCTCAGCTGGAAAATGGGGACAATACTTCTACCTCCTACTTACCAGTATTGTTTTGAGGGGCAAGCTCAAATACAGTGTCTTATCAATGAGAGTTAATATGGATAGTTCCTGAAATATAAGTAGAAGCTGGAGGGAATGAACTTGGCCAGTATCTGGCATTATCAATGAAGTGATTCATTTTGAACAAGGGAGTCTCACATCTCATGATGGGAAAGAGAGTCATGAAAGGTGCTATTCCTTGTAGAGGATGGAGATCAGCTCCTGGCAACTGGACACATACTGTGAAGTGAGGACCACATGTCAGGCTTTGCAGCCACATTCTTTCATATGAATAATAGCAAAGTCTGTACCAGAAAACCCATCATTTCTGTGCCAGAATGCCTTCTTTCTAAAGCAAGGGTGTCCTCAGTTATTTAAATTTGTGCAGTAGATCCATGATTAATTCTACCAACGTGATTCCTGAGTGCTAGTATGGTGCTAGTGGATAGGGGACCAGCCCTGGAGTCAGGAGGATCTGAGTTTAAATCTGGCTTCAGACACTTACTAGCTGCTTTCAAAGAGCTTACACTTGCAAGGAACTTGGGAGGGGGAGGAGAGAGTTGGAGGGATAGAAGAACAAGGACACTGCAGCTATATAGACAAATAAATACAAATCATAGTTGTAACCCATGGCTTAGGCCCACAAGCACTAGTTGCACATGTGGACTTATATCTGGAAATGACTACAGATGTAATCTAATCTAGACTCCATATTTACAAATAAGGAAACTGAGGCCCAGTATCGTGAACACACTTGTCCCAGGTCTTCGGGTATATTTAATTCAATTTAAGGAAGCACTCTTAAGTGTATAGTGGTCTTTGCTAAGTACTAAAGATACAAAGATGAAACAAGTCCTTGCCCTTAGTTTACAACCCAGTAGTAAGGATAAAACAAATAAATACATAGTTATAATACAAGTTTTAAGTTTTGACTTTGATAGAAAGTCATAAATGTCCAAGAGATGTGTGCCTAAAGATTATCTTCTTTTCTCTCTCTGCTAATGCATAATCAAATGAGGGAAACAGTCCTTAAGCACAGATTCAGAAGACCTGCTTCTAGCTTTGGGCTGTTATTCATCAGTTCACTTTTAGTGGACAATAATTGGACAGAAAGTTTTAGGTTTCTGTTTGTAAAGCATTATTGCACCATAACCTTTATCCTGTAACCTCATGTCCCTTCAAAATTCTGTCAGGATGATTGGGTGATATGGCATACAGACAGTCAGAAATGGTTCTATGTATCCTGGAAAAAGTAGCATTTTCAAGTAAGAGATAGCTGAACTATGAAGTGGAAAGACCACTGAATTCTAGATCTGGATTGTGGCTCTGCCTCTTAAGTAGATTTGTGACCTTGGACAAATCATATAATGTCTGTGAACCTCAATTTCTTCCTCTATGGAGTGGGGTTAATAGTATTCACATTGTCTAACTCTTCTGCTTGTTATATTGATTAGAGGAATTATAAAATATGCTTTGCAAAAATCTAAGCACCATATAAATGTAAATGGTTATTAGCATTGCCTCCAAAAAGAACTAATTGCAAGGAAAAATGTCCTTGGACACTCACTGTGTAACTTAGCAGGGTCAGCTTGCCAGAAGAGAACCTTTGGCATGGTGAGTGGCACATTGGGTAGATGCTTTATAAAAAATTTATAGAAGGAGATGGAGAAGAATCCTACTGGATAAGAAAGCATGCAGGCACCTTCAGAATGAGATCACTTTCAGGGTCCATTGCTGTCTATAAGTTTTATATGGCTGTTAACTATCGTGGGTTTGATCTCTGCCCATTTTAATTTCTAATTGTTCTAGTGCAGGGTACCATTTTTTATTAATTACCTTTCCATATGAATGATAAGCCTCTAACTTAAATTCCAGAATAACTAGATATTTATATAGAAGACATTAGTCCTGCAAAAGATGTTCTCAGCAAGGATGCTATGCTGGGAAAGGCCTCCCACTGTCATGCATTAATTTTTTTTCCAGCTTCTTTGAATTGAGTGCTCTCTGGAGGATTTCTGTCTTCATCTGTTTTCCTGGCCCTAGAAAGGATGAAATCAGAAAAATTGGGTGTGGGGGGAGGGGGGTAAGTAACATAGAAGCAGATTGCTGTTAGAGATATAAATATGTATATGTATGTGTGTGTATACATATACATACACATACATACATATACATACATATATGTGTGTGTGTGTGTGTATATATCTATATATATGAATCTCTTTGTTAAATCTTCTCATCCATAGCTCAGGCTGTGGGTTCATCCTAGCTCTTTTGCCCTTATCTCCCTCCTGTGGTCAAGTTCATCCCCTTTTTTAGCTTCCTTTAACTGCAGAGGGTGTAGCAGCCCTCATACCAAAAGGAAAAAATATCAGGGAAACTGTTGGCAAATCAGTGGTCCCCAAGGGACTCCTAAACCTCCTCTGTAGGCTACCTTCTGGACATTGCCTACTTCAGTGGGGAGGGGCTCTTTACTGCCCACTCACTGACGAACTTCAGCTGCATTTCTGTGCTGAAGCTGCTGTTGTTTAGAGGACCAGAGGAAGGGTAATTATTAAGGGAGAAGAAAGGCCAAGAAGGGTGGGGGGGAGAGACTGATGTGAGAACGTTTAAAGGATGTATTTTCCCTCTCAAATTGGAGTGTGGAGAGGAATAAGTGAGGGAGGAAATAGAGGTCTAAACAAAGTTTCATCCCTTGTTAGAATGTAAGCCTCTCTGAGGGCAGGCATTGTCTTGTTTGCTTGTTTGTGTCGCCAATGCTAATAGTGATTGGCACATTGTAAGTGCTTATTTAGTGCATTTTCATTCATTCATTTGTCTTTATTTTCTTAGGTTTAATTTGTCATCTTAATTTTTTACTGTCCTTTTCCTTTTTTCTTCTTTTTAAGATTGCTAGGAAGATTGTGTGTGTGTGTGTGTGTGTGTGTGTGTGTGTTGAATAACATGAAATATTCTGGATCATTTTAAATATGAAATTCAAGATCCATTGAAGTGAAGTATTCGGGGGGGAATGTAGAATTACTTCTAAAAATGTTGACCAAAGAGCCCCAGAGGGGCATAGCAAAATCTAGATCAGATATCTGGTTTGTAAAATTGTTCAGACCTTGATTCCATTCTTGGCTTAGTTGGAAATGCCATTAGAGTATAGCAGAAGGAAGTTTGTGATTCGATCTCTGTAGTTTAAAAGACTCCTCATCTGTGAAATAGGTGTAATAAAGGCAGGCTTGGTGACACACTCCTGTAATCCTAGCAGCTAGAGAGATTGGGACTGGCGGATTGCTTGAGTTTAGGAGTTCTGAGCTGCAGTGGTCTATAGCCGATCAGGTATCCACACTTGATGTGACACTAATATGATGAGCCCCCTGGGAGTAGGGGATCACCAGGCTGCATAAAGAGGGGCTATTTGGCCCATGTTGGAAACTGAATACATCAGAGGTCTCATGCCAGGTCAAAGTTCCCATGCCAGTTAGTGATGGGGTTGTTCCTGTGAGTGACTGCTATGCTTCCAACCTAGGTGAGGAGAGTTCCAGTCTCAAAAACCTTTTAAAAAATAAAATAAAATGGATATATTGGTAACTGTAGTAACCTTTCAGGGTTATTGTAAGCTCGAATGAAATTGTGTATGGAAAATGTTTTCAAACCTTAAAATTCACTGCAGCCACCTTAAAATTTGTCTCAAAGGGAATTGATTTGTTGTACACCCTTTTATACTAAGCCAAATTGTATATGCTCATATCATAAATCATTGACAGTTTTAAAAATTAATTTATTTATGTTTAGTTTTCAACATTCACTTTTATAAGATTTTGAGTTCTAAATTTTCTCCCCTCCCTCCCCTCCACCCTCCCCAAGACAGCATGCAATCTAATATAGGCTATACATGTACAGTCATATTAAACATATTTCCATATAAGTCATGTTGTGAAAGAAGGATCAGAACAAAAGGGAAAAACCACGAGAAAGAAAAAAAAAGAAAATTGTATGCTTCAATCTGCATTTGGACTTCATAGTTCTTTTTCTAGATGTGGATAGTATTTTCCATCATGAGTCTTTTGGAATTGTCTCAGATCATTGCATTTCTCAGAAGAACTAAGTCTAACAAAGTCAGTCATCACTGTTCGGTGTTCTCCTGGTTCTGCTTATTTCACTCAGCATCAGTTTGTGCAAGTCTTTCCAGGTTTATCTGAAGTCTGCCTGCTCACCATTTCTTATGACACAATAGTATTCCATTATATTCATATACCACAACTTGTTCAGCCATTCCCCAGTTGATGGGCATCCCCTCAATTTCCAATTCTTTGAAACCACAAAAAGAGCTGTACATGTAAGTCCTTTTCCCTTTAATCATTGACTGTTTTGAGGCGGTGTAATTTTGATTTATATTATTGGGGAAAGAGATTGCTTGTACAATAACCTTCTAAATTGTAACATTCCCTTAAATATGAATATAGTGTAATTAGGGCTTCCCTTCCCCTTGGCTGGGAGGGTTGGTGCTTGAAGCGTTTTAACAGCACTTTTTATATGTAAAAGCTTGAGAAACAGGAGCTACCTTCTCTTGAGTAATGACTTTTGGTTGGTTTTGTTCTGTCTTTATTTACAGGTGCCCAAAGCAAAATCCTCAGAAGCCTCCCGATACAAAAGATGATAATACAGAAAAACACTGCCCAGTGACAGTGAACCCTTGGCACATGAAGAAGGCTTTTAAAGTCATGAATGAATTAAGAAGGTATCATTCTGTCAACATGCATGTATTCAGCTCTGGTCAAGTCTCTGGGTCTGTCATTTCTTTTCACTTATTTGTCATCATTATCATTCTTGTTATAAGGAAAACATGGAATACACAGATTTCAGGAGTGGAATCTTGTTAAAATAAAGAGACAAGCACCATGGCATAATGGGAAAAGTGCTGTTGTGAGACTCAAGAAAACCTGGGTTTGAATCCCAGCTGTTGGAAGACCTTCAGAATCTTTAATTCTTTCATCTGCAAAATGGGGCTGTTGATAACCTGTAATATGCACATCAGAGAATTATTACAAGGATCCAGAGGATAATATGCTAGGGTGTATGAATTTTGTTTTTTCCCTAATATATTGATAATTACCTAAACATAATTGGTTTCTTTTATAATCCAATATATTTTATTTTATGCATATAAAAACATTAAGGACAGCTAGGGCGGTACAGTGGATAGAATGCCAGGTCTGGAGTCAGGAAGACTCATCTTCTTGAATTCAAAGCTGGCCTCAGACACCTGTTAGCTGTGTAACCCTGAGCAAGTCACTTAACCCTGTTTCTCAATTCCTTATCTGTAAATTGAGCTGGGGAAGGAAATGGCAAACCACTTCATTTTCTGCCAAGAAAACCCTTAAGAGTTGGACATGATTGAAACAACTAAACAGCAGCAGGAACAGCAACAACAAAAGCATTATTCTAAGAAAGGGTCCAGAGACCTCACCAGGATGTGTCCATGACACAAAAAGGGTTAAGATCTCTGGTGTAAGGACTTTCTTTTTTAATGTCAACTGAAACTCATTGCCAAGAACATATAAAAATAACATTTTGGTCTGGGAAGAACCCTAGAGAGTTTTTTCTCAAAACTGTCTCATTCTCAAAGATGTTTCAAATATTTGATTGACAGTAGAGAAAAGGATTATTTTAGCAGGGTAATTAAAACATAGTAAGCTTTGGGGATTAAAAGTACAGTGTGCTTCAGCTTCATAGAAAAATCGAACTAGATAATCAGATTGTTGTACCTTTTTGAAAAGCACTATTTTTTTCCTCAGTTTTATATGACCAGTAATGTCTGTCTAAAACAGGGTTTCTTAGCCTTTTTTTTTTTTTTTTTTAAACTCTTTGGCAGTTTGGTGAAGCCCGTGGACTCCTTCTCAATTTGATGTTTTTAAATGCATAAAATAAATACACAAGATAACAAAAGAAACTAATTATATTAAAATAATTATTGTCATAATAATGGTGACAATATTTATTTGGACCTTTATATGGACCTTTGAGGTTTGCAGAGCATTTTATGAATATCTCCTGCTTGTATCTTTAAAAGGTGTGATTCCATATACAGTATGTGCTAGTCACTAGGTCTGGTTGGATTCTTTTCCTTTTTAATCCTGTTGTAACAGTCAAAGTGTTTGGACTATAAAATAGAGTAACCATGAAGGGTACTGAAAAGAAGTTCTTTTAAAAAAAATCTAAGGATAGGTGATTTCATTGGTGGTGGCGTTTAGTCATGTCTGACTTTTTGTCAGCCCATTTGGGGTTTTCTTGGCAGAGATACTGAAGTGGTTTGCTATTTCTTTCTCCAGCTCATTTTACAGATGAGGAAACGGAGGCAAACAAGGTTAAATTATGGGCCCAGGGTCACACAGCTAGTAAGTGTCTGAAGCTGGATTTGAACTGAGGAAAATGAGTCTTCCTGACTCCATGCCCAGCAATCTGTGTGCACTGTGGTGCCACCTAGCTGCCCCTGTATTGGTATAGGGAACTCCCTAATAAGGACACCCTCTCTACTAATGCAGATCTTTTTTATAGCTAATAGTCTTTAGAGGGCTTTGAAGCCAAGAAGACCTGAGTTCAAATCCTCCTTCTGACATATACTGGCTGTGTAACCATGGTAGGCAACTCCTTTAACTGTTGTCTACTACAGGTCTACCACAGTTAGGTTTCTAACTATTCTATCGTAGTACTCTGTGTTTTAAAAATTCTTGTCCTATCTGGTACTGTTAATTGCTTTTCTTCTTTCCATTTCTCTTTTTCCTTTTCATCCTAGAAAGATTGAACTTAATAAAAGTATAAACCTTCTTCCCCCCACCAGGAAGCCAGTGGACCTGGTTCTAATTTCAGTTCTGCTGTTGATTTAATGTGTGACCTTGAGCAAGTCCCTTCCCTTTCCTTAGTTTCCGCATTTGTAAAATGAGGAGGCTGGACCTGCATATTCTCATTTCATGCTCACCTTTTGTAAGAGTTGATAACGAGGAAGCCATGACTCTGAGGGCATTATTTGCTCAGCTCCTCCTTAGCCTGAGCAGGTTTCTGTTTCATGAGGTGTGAGTCATTAAGTCTGCAAGGTTCCTCCTGAGGTTCCTCTGTGTGAAGCCTGTGTCTTAACTCTCTCCACACCAGAAGCACCATTTCTGCCTCATTGCAGGCACTGAGGATAAAGATATTGAACAGTACTCCCTGTCCTTCCAGTCAGTCACACTAATTGTCACTTCTTGGACTTCTCAATGCAAGTGAAGGATACTGACTCCCCAAAGAGAAACTGTGTGAATTACATCTCCCAGGTTGCCTGTAAGATGTCAGACCAGGGCCTCTCCAATAGGGTAGGAAAGCGGTAGTATTTTCAGTTTTAACATAAGATTATTCTGTTATAGAAAATAAATTGGTTTTAGACTGTTAGAACTAATGTCATTTCATAGGGATCGTAGATTTAGAACTGGAAGGGGTGTTAGAGGTGGAATCCAACCCCTTCATTTTACAGATGAAGAAACTGAGGTACAGAAAATTGAAATGACTTGCCTAGGGTCACATAGCTAATAAAAACAATAATAATAGTAGCTAACATTACAACAATAACAGTAATAATAGCTAACATTTATATAGTGCTTACTGTGTGCCAGATACTGTGCTAAATCGATTATTTCATGATCCTCACAACAACCCTGGGAGGTGGGTGCTATTATTATCTCATTTTACAGATGGAAAAAAAAATGAGGCAAACAGAGGTTAATACAGCTAGTGTCTGAAGCTGGATTTGAACTCAGGTCTTCCTTGACTCCAGGTCCAAACTTCAAACCACTGTGCCACACTCAGTAGAATTCATCAAAATCTTAGTGGCTCTGTGGTCTCTCCTCATACTTCCAAGAAATTTCCCACCTTTCCCCAGGTCATCTATTTTAAGTGCTTCTCAAAACTAACATGGAAATCTCTGAAATTTGCTATTGGTTGCACAACTGAAACTCATTAGTTACTTCCTGCCCTTGCAACAACTTCCGCTCGTCAGCTGAAAGTGATTTCCTGGCTTCTTGGAAGGGACAACTTCCCCTTCACTGCTTACTTACTTACAGACACATTCTGGTCTCCAAATGGGGGGGGGAGTAGGGAGAGGGGGAGGCATTGCAGGAGGAGACATGTACAGACCAGCTCCCTCATTTTCTTTATTTTTAATTTGTAGTTTGTTTTTTCAATTAAAAAAAGCATTTATTTTTGCTTCCCACATAACACTACCCCTGCCTGTGGGGGGAAAAATAGAAAAACAACACTCAGGAATAAAATATACAGAGTCAAGCAAGACAAATTTCCCTGCTGGCCAGGTCCCAGAATCCTTGTCTCATTCTTCATCTTAAGGCCATCATTGGAGCCGTGCATTGGAGGTCATTGCACTGATTGATTGGAGCTTTTAAGTCCTTCAGGGGTGCTTGTCTTCACAGTGTTCTGGTTGTTATTTAAATGATTTTCCTGGTTCTGCTCGTGTCCCTCTGCCTCAGTTCATCCAAGGCTCCCCAGGTTTCTCTGATGCCACCACTTTTGTAATTCCTTTGCCACAGTAGGATTTCATTCTATTCTATTCTGTATTATGATTTGTTTGGCTATTCCAATTGACCGACACCCTTTAGTGTCAGCTCCTTTCCTATTGCAAATGTAGCTGCTAGAAATATTTTTGTACATGTGGCTCTTTTGCCTGCCTCTTTCCTCTCTTCTCTTCTTTCTCTCCTCTCCTCTTTCTCCATACATATGTACACACACAATTTGCATATATATTTATATCTACACACATAAAATGTATATATACATAAATACATGTTTATAAGACATGTGCACACACATATAAAGTGTATATATACATGTAAATGTATAAAATGTATATATACACATATAAAATATATATGCACGTACATAAAAGGTATACATACACACATATATACACACATACACATTGTAGCTAAATGATACAGCGGATAGAGTGCCAGGCCTGGGGTCAGGAAGACTGCTCTACAATATTATATGATTGTTTGTAAAAATGAGATAATCCATCAAGTGAGGTAATATGTGTAAAGCACTTAGCACAGTGCCTGGCACATAGTAGGTACTATATAAAGACTTATTCCCTTCTCTTAAAAGCCAAAAATGATGCCCTGTGGTCATGATGAATCATTTAGTTGAGTAAATGTTGAGTCCCTACTGAGTGCTTACTTCTGCATTAGGGACCAAGAGAATACAAACAGTCCTGCCCATAAGGAAGAGAACTCATTTGAAGAGAGGAGACATACAAAAGCAAAATAATTAGGGAAAAGTAAATGATTGGAACAATGATTGTTTTAGGATTGAAGCATAAGGAGGCAGCTGGTGGTGCAGTCATTAGAGAGCTAGACCTGGAGCCAGGAAGACCCGATTTCAAATTCAGCCTCAAGCACTTACTGGCTGTATTACCCTGAACAAATCACTTCACCTCTGTTTGCCTCAGTTTTCTCATCTGTAAAATGGGGAGAGTAATAGCGCCTACCTCCCAGGGTTGTTGTTGAGGAGCAAATGAGATAATAATTGTAAAGTGCACAGTGCCTGCCACATTCTTAAATGCTTATCCTCTTATTCTTGTTTTCCCCTCGGTGGAAGGATATAGTCAGAGGAAGTGGGCCTTTAGCTGGGACCTAAAAAACATTATGTGATCACAGGATCATAGATTTGGAGCTAGAAGGGACCTTGGAGGTCAATCCCTTCATTTTACTGAGGTGAGGGACTTGTCCAAGGTGATACAGGTTGTAG